CGGGAGTTGGGGGGTGGGCCCAGCCCTGCGGTGAGCTCGGAGGGTTCGATAGCAGGGAACTGGTTTAATACAGTAGCTACAGTTGCTTTTTCAGAGCTTTAGATCCCTACTGAAGCAGAAGAAAGAATCCGTTCCCTGGTCTTCCAGGGACAGGGGAGGTTTGGGGGTGGCAGATCCTGGGGGGCTGCAGATGGGGGCAGCTGCGCGGTGCATGATGTCCTGCCCTCCCTGCCCATGCAGGGAAGATGTTCAGCCAGACGACCATCTGCCGCTTCGAAGCGCTCCAGCTCAGCTTCAAGAACATGTGCAAGCTGAAACCGCTGTTGCAGCGCTGGCTCAACGAGGCGGAGAACACGGACAACATGCAAGAGGTGCGGGCTAGGGAGGGTGGGAGCTGGGGTAACCCTACGCCTGCAAGCCCTCAAGCCACAGATTCTTCTCCATTTCCAACATGCCTTTGGGGAGAGAAGAGGGAAACAGGAGGTATTTTGTGCCACAGCAGCATCTCACTGCATGGCTTCAGTCCGGCTTGGGGGGGATATCGCTGGGTATTGCTTTCTGCCAAGCTGAGGGGAGCCCAATGCCCCCACAGACACCTAGTGATTATGGCAGCTCCCATCTTGGAGCAGCCGGGTCCTGCTGGAACCTCAGAAAGGCTAAATGTGCAGCTTGCTGCTCCCTGGGGAACCTGGCGGGGGTGCAGGAAGATTTGTCCAGCCTCCCCACACCAGCTGCTGGCAGGGCTGGGATACTGGGAATGGCCCCAGTCACAGTGGAGTAATGCTCAGTGGAGAGTCACAGGGTCACAGTCTGTGCCCAGAGCCTGGTGGAGACTCTTCCGTCCAGTGACCAACATGTTCCCTCTCTTGTTCCTAGATGTGCAATGCAGAGCAAGTACTGGCCCAAGCCCGGAAGAGAAAACGCAGGACCAGCATTGAGACCAATGTGAAGGGAACACTGGAGAGCTTCTTCCGCAAGTGCGTGAAGCCCAATCCCCAGGAGATCTCCCAGATTGCTGAGGACCTCAACCTGGATAAAGACGTAGGTTGGGAGGGTGGGAAGGGTGGGTGCCCAAATGTCAGCAGCTCCTGAGCATCTGCATCAGGCCAGTTTGATACTTTGTCTCAGAGCAGAAATGAGCAGTTATGAGGCATAGCTCATCAGTATGAAAAAAAACCCACTTGGCTCCAGAGGAGGCTTTCCTTCACAGATGGAGTATTTAAAACTTTACAGGGACAAAAATAATCCCCAGACCCAACACAACACCCCATCTGTGTTTGTGTATATGCACATAATGTATAAGAGTAATCCTTTGATACTAATTCACCTCTAAAGAAGCTGATTTTTGCCCCCAAGAACCCACATGGAAAGTGAAAACTTTTTCTTCATTGGAAGTGGAAATGCACGAGAAGACCAACAAAACACAACCTACGAACAATACACAAGTTCCAGTCACAAATGCATATTGGCTTCATCTGATAATGCCACTGGCCTTTGGAGAGAAACCTTTCTTTCAATTCATTATCTTCTTTCCTGTTTAACATTTTCTACCTCTCTCATCTCTCAGCTCTGGAAGCAGTGGAAAAAGTGTTCCTGGCTGGAGTCCATCAGGGCTCAGACCAGGACAGAGATGTGTGGCAGGGAGGGGGCTGCACTGGCAACTTGGGGTGCTGTGGAGATGCCACCAGTAGAAGGGTCTCCTTGTCACCCACAGAGTGCCTGGGGTCACCCCCTCACCCATCTCTCTGTCTCCCTCCCTGCAGGTGGTCCGGGTCTGGTTCTGCAACCGGCGTCAGAAAGGCAAACGGCTGCTGCTGCCCTATGGCAATGAGGCAGATGGGATGATGTACGACATGAACCAGCCGCTGGTGCCGCCCACCCTGCCCATCCCAGTGACGTCCCAGGGCTACAGCCTGGCACCCTCCCCTCCCATCTACATGCCGACCTTTCACAAAGCTGAGATGTTCCCACAAGCGCTGCAGCCTGGGCTCTCCATGAGCAACAGCGGCCACTGAACCGGGGGCTGTGGGGTCACTGCAGGTGGTCTGGCAGCCCCCACTTTGCCCCGGGCTGGCCCAGGCAAAGCCCTCCTTCTGCTCGTTGGGCTGCTGTGTGGGGCTTTTTGGGGTGCAAGGGGCTGGGAGCCTGTCGCTCGCTGTCTACGGTTGCTCCCAGCCCTTCCCAATTATGTGATCTTACTGGTCCCAGCAGCATTGGCCCCCCCCTCTGACCTCTCCTAGGGGCAGCTGCTCCTGCCCCACTGCACCCCCTGAAGCCATGTGCGCCCAGCCCCAGCCGCTCTTCTGGAGACCCAAAAAAAAGTATTTTTTAGATTTTGGGGTGGGGGGAGGGGGGTGGTTTTATTATTTTTTGAAATGGTTTTTGGTTGTAGTTTTTAAAAAGCAAAAATTTTTGTAGTGATCTAGTTTCCCAGGTGCCTCCTCCCTGTCATGTAGAGCAGGGCTGGAACACCATGCCCAGGGCTGAGGGGCCCTGGTGGCTCTGCCCACCCTCCTGGGCAGCCAGGGTGAGCTGAGCTCAGGGGCAAGGGGTGGAGGTGAGCCTCCGCCACCCCTTGAGCTGTGGCACAGGAGAGCTTCACCCTTCTGTGGGTCAGCTGGTGAGGCCTGTTTGGGTCAGGGGGGGTCCTCCCCAGCGCTTGTGCCCAGCACGAACTGGACAAAGGGGACTGAGGACCCTCAGCCCCCTGGGCCCTCCTCACTCTCCAGCCACTGTCCCCCGCCCCAGCCTGGCTTGGCTGCCCAGAAACCTGGGGGGTCCCAGCCCAGGGGTCCAACAGCGCCCTGTCCATGCTGCTAGCACCCCAAGCCTTCCAGCCTGCTGTAGTTAATGATGAATTTTATATTTTTTGTTCTTAATCACATTCCCACGGGCAGTGAAATAAATCTCAGAGTTCTTTGGGGCAAGAATGATTTAACCCTTTCCTTGCTTCACTTGCATCCCTGCTCCTGCAGCCCAGCAGTGCAGGTTTAGCTGCATGTGGGGGCACAGCGACACTGGATCAAGGCCCCCAAAGAGAATGGACGTGTCCCTGTCACACTGGCAACACCCAGCTCTTGGCTGCCTGCAGCTTGGCTCCTAAACCAGGACTGGTGGCAGCTTGGTTTTGGAGGGGCTGTTCCCCTCCTGAAGCAGAGGGGGTCAAAAGTGAAGGGGTGGTCATCTTCCACCCAGTTTAAACTGCTGGTTTGCTGTAGCTGCTGAGAAAGGGGGAAGCAGTGGGTTCTCATTTGCAGGCTGCTTCAGCAGCTGCCATGGACAGGGAAGGACTAGGGAGGATGTAGACTGGTAGGCAGGGAAGAGGTCTGGGAAGGTGGGTTTGTTCTCACCTGCAGGGCTGCTGGTGTGACACTGATGGGCAAAGGATGGATGCTCCTGTGTGCGTGGTCCATCTGAGTCAGCCTCATGCTGGGGTGATGCCAACCCAGCCAGGCAGGTCCAGTGGGCATTGGGAGCTGAGCCAGTGGGAACTGGGAGTGTCTGGGGGATGACTTCACATTTCCCCACCATGGTCTCCAGCCCTTTCCCTCGCGGGACCTTCCCCCAAGCAGAATGAAATCCCCAACCATCCTGTAGGGAAGCTTCTGGAAAGCCCAATTTTCAGCTCGGCAGCTGATTTGGTCTACAGGTCTGCCTGGAGTGGGGGCACTTTTAAGGAGCTGCTAACAGAGCACCCTGGGACTCTGCCGGGCTGGGTGCCAGCCCTGCGTGGCAGGACCCCCTTGGCTCACTCTCCATCCCTACTTGTTACCCAGGGATACTTCCCTGCCTGCCTGTGGAGTGGGGGCACAGCCATACATGGCATCCACTAGAAACTGTCCCTGTCACAGCTGCGCAGTTTAAGGGTGTGGGAGGATGGTGGGATTGGGAGCAGAAAGCTGAGAAGGGTATCATCTCCCTAAGGTCTGCTTGTCTCCACATTTCCACCATCTGATTTTCTACTTCCAGCCAGGCAGGAGCCCCAACCCCCATATCCCACAGCCCCGGCACCCTGCCCATGGGCACCCAGCACCTGTCTGTGGGTACCCACAGCCCCTCCTGCTCCACTTCTGGTTGACCCAGAAAACAAAGCGGAAATCGGAAGCCACAGAAGTCAGAAGAGCGCGGTGTGCCTGTTCAACTGCCATCCCACCAGGGCTGGCACTAGGGCGGCAGGGTTGCCCCCTCTACCAAGGGGGACCTGAGTCCTGCTGGGCACCTGGTGGGTCGCAGGGTGGCAGGGGTGGAGTTGGGTGACTTCAGAGCTGCAGGGAGGAAAACTTGGGGAAACTTGTGACTAAAAGTTGTTGATATCACTGGGATTGATGATACCGAGCAGAAGGGCATGGGGCAAGGCATGGGTAGAGCAGTGTGTCTCACTCCCTGGTTCTATCAAACCCAAAATCACCACTGATCCTGGATGGTGCCCATGCTGCAGGGGGTATACATGGTACTGGGTGCCCATAATGTAGGGTGCTGTCTGAGCAGGATGTGTGCATGGTGCAGGGTGGACATGGTGCAGTGCTATGTCTGTGTGTGCAGGGTGCCCGTGGGACTAGCTTTGCTCCCGGAGGCCACCGGCTTGCTTCCTTCCTGCCACAACAGGGAGGGAGTGACAAACCACAGCATCCCTGTGCCTGGCTGACTTTGAAATTGCCCTGAGAGGATTTGCTGTCCTGTGGCTCCTCACTGGCATAGTGGCACCCACGATTCAAGGGGGGTGGGGGAGATGGGTGCTGCCAGGAAATGGGGGAGCAGAGGCTGTGTTCCCTCCTGGCCATGGGGTGCTGGGCCCCCCTGTACTGCTTGAGCATGGCTCCTCCACCCCAGCCGCAAATGTCACCATGTGGCCTCTGCCACCAGGGCTTTGGCACCCAGCAAATGTTGCTGGGGGGACACTGAGGATCACAGGGAAAGGTTGGGGAGCCCTCAGCCACCCACCAGCCCCCTGCCCTGCCCACACCTTACACCACAGGCACAGCCTCGGCAGCAACGTAACATTTATTTCCAAAGCACCCTCTGGTCCTGCCAGCACTCTGGCAAGATGGTCAACATTGGTTCAGGAAAATTAAGTCATGGGGAGTTGCTCAAGGTCCCAGTGTGGCAACAGCTGGGTTGGGACAAGAGTGGACCTCCCTTCTCTCCGTGCCCCACATCCTGGTCTGCAGGTGGGTACCTCACACTCCTCCCACCCCTGTATCCTCTGTCTGGATACACCCCAATGGTCCCGGCACACACTAGGAGTTGAACCAGCTCTGCAGGTCGGGATAGAGGTGGCCGCGGGGCAGGTGGGGGTAAGCGGTGCAGATGGTGCAGATCCGCTCCCTCCAGTCAGTGTAGAGCTTCACACTGAACCTCCTCTGCCAGGCAAAGAACTGCTGGTAGCGGCTGGAGTTCATGGTCTTCAGGAAGATGGCCAGCTCCTCCAGGGAGTTGAAGTCATCAACGTGGATGAAGGAATCGGCAGGAATGAACTGCTCATAGTTGGCCCGGGGTGGCCCCAGCACCACGGGCACAGTGCCGGCCAGCAGCGAGTTCCTCCAGAGCTTCTCTGTGATGTAGTCCCGGTGGATGGAGTTCTCGAAGGCCAGGTAGAACCTGGACTTGGATGTCGTTGGCAAGAGGCAGTCCTTGCAGAGGGGTTTGTTGTTTGCTTTCCCGTATACATTCACATGGAGGTACCTGGAGAGGTTTTTGTAGACTTCAGCTCTTTTCTGAGTCCTGTGGTAGTTGCTGATAACCCAGGATACCAAGTTGGTCTTTGCAGGGATGTTCACAGTGGCCGAGTGGTTGGGCACAAGCTTGCCATAGGGGATAAAGATGTCTGAGTCCTGCCTGTAGGTCATCACCCAGTTGAAGGTCTGGTTCCATCCTGCTAGAGCTCTACTGTTGGAGGGGGACTCCAGGGAGACCCATACCCAGTTCTGCCTTGGTGGTCTCTCCTTGGGCAGCCTGTCCTGCCCAGGTTGAAGCCGGGCATGGGGGAACACCACCACATCGGCCTGGTGCAGGAGCTGCCGCTCTGTGGTGAGCCAGCAGCCTGTGATGCCGTACAGCTCGTGGCACACGTCCCCACTGACACTGGGGACCTGCTTCGAGGGCCATTCCCACACCAGCACCAGCAGTGGCTCTGTGTGTTTGGAGTCTTCTCTGGAGCCATTGGAGGGGTTGAGGAAGCACCTCAGGTTCCAGAGCATGGTTACAAACACCCCAGCAGTGACCAAGGTCTTCACACCAGGCCGGCCCCATGGTGACCATGGCAGTGGTGATGCCCGGGGCATGCTGGCAGGATGGCTGTCACCTCCTCAGGTGACAAAGCTGACGCCTGGGACAGAGGAGAGACCACCAATGGCCATCGTCTCAGCTTGCTGGGAGCAAGGGGTGACTGGGAGGTGCTGGGATCTGAAGGGCCAGAGACAGGCCTTCTCCATGAAACCTGGTCCTCAACATCACCCCTGGACTGTCTGCTCCCCTGTACCACAGGGTTCCCTGTGCACCTGGTGTCACCCCAGGGTGGTCTTTGTTCTCCCTCCCATGATCCCTGGTGTCTCCATCTTTGGGTGAGCACAGATACTGCCAGAAGGTGCAGAGCTGATGGGAAGCATCCACTTGTGCCCCCTGCCCCACTGCCCATCACAAGAGGTCCTTGGTGCTTGCTCTGTGCCTCAGTTTCCCCACCTGACATGTAGCCATGGTCCCACTCCTTACTTTGTCCAGAATATGTCAAACCTGATATGCAGCCAGCCTTGCCGCAGCTGTGCACCAGAGGATGAGGAAGAAGATCCCAGTCCCACCTAAATAACCCCACGGTGAGGCCCCAGCTGCAAAATGGAGTGTCTCTGGGGCTGACTGTGAAGTCTGAAACTTCAGTCAGGGAGTTTCAGGACTGGAGTGTCCTGCCCAAGAAGTGCCCCAGCTTTCTCCTGCAACAATGACAAGGCAATCCCCAAGCTCGAGGTGCTCTCCCCAGATCAGGGTGCTATCCCCAGCCCCCAAGGACATGAGGAGCCCCAGGAAGCTGGGAGGTTGTAGCCTCAGGGCCCCAAACACTCATATTTTATATTCAGAATGTCACAGATGGCCAGTGCTTTGCTGTGCAGGCACGAAGGGCAGGGAGGGCAGTGAGAACAAAAAGGGCAGAAAGGGTAGCGGGGGAAGGGAGGGCAGGGAAGGCAGGGAAGGCAATGCAGCACTTGGGGCTGCCACTGATGGGGCTCAGCCCGCAGGCACATGGGCCCTCCAGCTGTGGGATACTCACCCTCCTACGGTGCCCATCTGTCTGCCTTGGGCCTCCACTGTGGTTTAACCAGCAACACTGCTGGGAACAGAGCAGTGGTGAAGGTGGCGAGGGGGATGCATGGCTGGGCTGGAGACTAGCCACCAGCTTGAGCCCAGTCTGGAGTGCCAGTCCCAGGACAGGGCTCAGTGCCTGCAGGCCATCCATGGCATTCAGTAGCAAAGGTGGTTTCTCTTTTGTGGAAACCTCTGGAAACACACGGGCTGCCTGCATCCTGGTGCCAGCTGGGGCTGGGCCCATTCCTCCAGTATTGGAGTCTCCTGGAAAGCAGTGCCCTACTTTTCCACCCACTCCAGCACTGCAGCTTGGCTGCAAAAAATCCCTTCCTTGCCTTGGCCCGCTCCATCTGTCCTGCTAAAATATACCAAGCTAAGTTTAGGCTCCAGACAAACCTGGCATGGGAAGCAGAGAGGACTGGGAAAGCTTTCCTGGTTCCCTGCACTGCACATCAATGCTGTGGGTCCCTCTCCCCGGCAGTGGGGATGCTGCCCCCATTTTGAGGATGATCTGAAAGGGAACCTCCTACTCCAGCAGTGCCAGGGGCTGCCCCATTTCTCAGCCCCTCTCCCCTTGGTGGTCAGCGATGCTGAACTCAGACTTACCGGGACGGAGGTGTGCAAGATGCCAGGTGCGTCTGCCTGGGTGCTGCCGCACTGGGCTGGGGCACTCAAAGGCTTCCTCTTTTCTGTGGTTTTTGCCTTGTCCCAGCCCCATGGCGGGTCCTTCCTGCCCCATGTGGCAGCTGGCACAGCCCGCTCCCAGCACTTCCCCTGAGCCACCCCAGGGGCTGGTATACACCCACAGCTGGGTGGGTGCCCTATGGCCAGGTGGGTACCTTGTGCCCTGGGTGGGTACCCCATGACTGGGTCGGTTCCCTCTGGCTGAGTGGGCACCCCATGGTGGGTGCATGCCCCAGAGCAAGCTGGGTGCCCTAGGGCTGAATGGGCGCCCAGTGACTGTGTGTGTCCTGTGGCTGAGTGGGTGCTACATGGCTGAGCATGTGTCCCATAGATGTGTGGGTGGCACATGGCTGGCTAGGCACCCTCAGCCTCGACAAGGTGCCACCCATCTGCCACCTGCAGCCTGGTTGCAAACAGGATACCAGCCCGACTCCAACTCCCACTGACTCATCCTGAAACTGTAAATGAATGCAGCCCCAGCACCCTCGCAGTGCTGCTGAGCCCTGGGCATTGCCCTGCCTGGGATGTTTCCTGCCAATAGGGGAAGCGGGCACGTGTGAGCCTCAGTGGTGCATGCACGAGCTGTCTCCTGGGGCCTGGCCCCAATCCTGCCCTGCTCCCAGTCTGGCTCAGTTGTGTTCTCTCCTGGCATTGCTGTCCAGGACCCAAGTCTCCATGAAAGCCCTGGCAGGCAAAATGAGATGGCGAAACTGAGGCAGAGGCATGGAGGGGACTACCAAGGTGTGCAGCACTGTTCTTGAAGCTGGCAGGGGTATGCTCTATGCCCTGGCACACACAGAGCTGGGAACGAGACCCCAGACAAGACCTCCCTGGGGGTTCTTGGGCTGCTCTAATGCCCCTGGGGTCTGCACCATTAGACCTGCTGGCTGTCAGGTCCCTGGGATCCCTGTTGGGCATGGTGCCATGTCACTGTGCCAGGGTGTAGCAGGGCTCTGTGGTTTCAGTGTCACCCCGGGAGCCCTCAGAGGCCAACTGTAGCCCCAAGGCAGGGTGTTCCTTCCTCTGTAACCATGTCCCCAGCTTCCTGTCATCTTTTCTCACTCTCTTTCTGCATTTCTTCCACTGCATGATTGAGAGCCCAGATTCCACAATCTACGGGGACCATTCCCAGCCTGGCCTGGGCCAGCCCTGTCAGCTGTGGGCAGCAGTCTCTGCCTGGCCGGAGCATTCACCATCATCCTGCTGCTGTCCCATATCTTGAGGGCCCAGGGCCACAGTGGCTGGGGCCGTTCCCCTCCACAGACAGCACTTGCAATAGAATTTCCTTGAGGCATTGAGGATGTCTTTTGGAGCAGGAGGGAGCTTTTTCATGTCACTTGTAGCTGTCACCTGCAAGTGCTGCCCCAGGACACCCTGGCAGCAGAGACAGTGCCCCAGAAGGACTTGCAGCCAGTAGGTCCAGACACCTTCACCCTGTTGCCCAAGAAACGTGGCTCTGAGCCAGGCTGGGAGCCAGGACCAGTGCTGCCTGGGTGGGCTGGGCAGAGATCAGGGCCAGGAATCAGGCCATGGGACCACTGGGGAACACAAGACAGCACCAGCACAGAGCAGAGAACTGTGGGTGGGTGGGCACAGCCACCTGCAGATGACCCCACACAGAGACAGGAGTTTGGCCACCCCAAAAGGAAGTCCCCTGAGAGGTACTCAGGGCTCCATGTCCCCAAGGCTTCAGGCCCCGCGTCCATGAAGGATGCTTTTCCCGGGGCTGTGCTGTCCCATGGTACGCTGCTGTGTCTGTCCCTTACTGGCCCTGCAGAGGGTTCCATCGTCATGCCAAGCAGAAAAGAGAAGCTCCCCAAGACTCACACAGGGGCAGCAGGAAGGGAGGGAGCAGGAGACTCAGGTCAGGACTTTGACCCACCTGTGGAGCCCCCCCTGCACCCTTCTAAGCTGGGGAACCACTCTGCTGCAGGACAGGGGTTTTGAGGTGCTTCTTGTGTGGGCTGGGGATAACCCACATGCAATCCCGTGCAGGAAGCCAAGGGTGACAGCTTCCCTCCTTTCCCAGGGACCCAGCAAAAGCCCAGCTCCTCTCGATTCTGGGCAGCTCTGCCCATACCCCTGCCTGCACACCCAGCAACCCTCCCAAACTAGCCACTCTCCCCAGGGCACAGAGCTGGGTGCACGATGCCTCTTCACCACTGCATCCCTTATCCTCCCGCGTCTCAGCACACTGTTTCACCCAGAAGTTTGGGGAATAATGGCACTTTGTGTTGGACAAGGGGAGCTTTTGTTAGAGCCATGCAGCTGCCGAAGGGCCTTCCCTGAGTACAGGGCACCCTTTGCAGCACCACTGGGACTGCAGCAGCCAGAGGGGGATTCATTACTCCGAGCTGAACTTGGCTGGAAAAAGAGATGGTCACAGAGAGTTAGAGGGAAGGAGACAGGAGAGGAGGCTGCAGAGAGCAGGAAGAGGGAGGGACAGATGGGAAATGGAGAGAACCAGGGTAATGGGAGGAGAGAGGAAAAGAAGGATGGAGGGATGGATGGAAGCAAGGATGGATGGAAGGGAGAGAAGATAGAAGGAGGGAGAAAAAGAAGGAAGGAAGAAAGGATAGAAGTAAGGATGGATGGGAGGACAGATGGATGGGAAGAAGCATGGATGGGAGGAAGCATGGATGAATGGAAGGAAAAAAGGATGGAAGGAATGATAGATGCAAGTAAGGGTGGATGGGAGGAAAGAGGAGAGCTAGCCTGGCTCGGTGTTTATTGCTGCTGAGAGCATCCTTTCCAGCCCTGGGGTTAGAGCTGACAGTGGACAGCTGTGGCAGCAGGTTGGTCTCTCCAAAAACACCTGTGGATGCCCCAGCATATGCCCGTGGGAGGGGTCAGGCAGGAGCAGGGGCAGCAGTGGCACCCTGGACGCAGACCCCGCAGCCACGGGCCAGTCCGTCCTGTCCTGGGGAACACGAGGGGCAGAGGCGCGGGGGTAACCTGTGTCTGGCTGCAGGGAGTGGAGGCGGCTCGGGGGCACCGAGGGTTTCCCGGCACCTGGTGCAGCAGCCCCCCTCCGGACCGGCCGCACGGGGACCCCAGTTGCCGGTAGGAGCCGGGCCCGCCCATCCAGCGAGGATCCCCCGGGGCCGGTCCGGCTGTGCCGCCGCGGTGCGGGCGGAGCGGACGGGCCCGGCGGTGCCTTTAAGGGGCGGCCGCCGAGGGCTGGGGGCGGTGTTGGTTCTGCGCAGGGCTGGGCAGGGCGCGACGCGGTGAGGCCGAGGCCGAGGCCGGGGCCGGAGACGGAGCTGGAGCTGAGGCCGGGACTGCTCCGCTCCTTCGCAGCCCGCGGCGGGCAGAGG